AAGGTACCTAAGGATTGGCAGAGAGCATGCATAGTTCCTTTGTATAAAGGCAAAGGGGACAAAAGAGAGTGCAAAAATTATAGGGGAAGAAGTCTTGAGTAAAAGGTAGTAGGACAGCAACCACCCAGGGAGGTACTACCGTCCTGCCAAGTGAGTGTAAAACAAAAGCCTGTAATTGTTTTACATGATGGTAGGATTGCTGGTGTCCTTTTTCCTGTCTCATGAGCATGCAAGATTTCAGGTACGTCTTGCTACTTCTACTTACACTTAGGTCACACTACACATACATGTACAAGCACATATATACACACCCCTCTGGGTTTTCTATTTTCTTTCTAGTTCATATTCTTGTTTATTTCCTCTTTATCTCCATGGGGAAGTGGAACAGAATTCTTCCTCCATAAGCCATGCGTGTTGTAAGAGGTGACTAAAATGCCGGGAGCAAGGGGCTAGTAACCCCTTCTCTTGTGTATATTACTAAATGTAAAAGGAGAAACTTTTGTTTCCTTTTGGGCCACCCTGCCTCGGTGGGATACGGCCGGTGTGTTAAAAGAAAGAAGAAAAGAAGAAGAAGTCTGTTGAGTTAAAGGTAGTAGGATGGTAGACAGCAACCACCCAGGGAGGTTCTACCATCCTGCCAAGTGAGTGTAAAACGAAAACCTGTAATTGTTTTACATGATGGTAGGATTGCTGTTGTCTTTTGTCTGTCTCATAAATATGCAAGATTACAGGTACGTCTTGCTACTTCTACTTACACTTAGGTCACACTACACATACGTGTACAAGCATCTATATATATACACACCCCTCTGGGTTTTCTGCTATTTTCTTTCTAGTTCTTGTTCTTGTTTATTTCCTCTTATCTCCACGGGAAAGTGGAACAGAATTCTTCCTCCATAAGCCATGCATGTTGCAAGAGGTGACTAAAATGCCAGGAGCAAGGGGCTAGTAACCCCTTCTCTTGTGTATATTACTAAATGTACAAGAGAAACTTTCGTTTCTCCTTTTGGGCCACCCCGCCTCGGTGGGATACGGCCAGTGTGTTGAAAGAAAGAAAAGTCTGTTGAGTATACCTGGTAAAGTGTATGGTTGAGTTATTATTGAAAGACTTAAGAGTAAGACGGAGAATAGGATAGCAGATGAACAAGGAGGCTTTAGGAAAGGTAGAGGGTGTGTGTGTGTGTAGACCAGGTGTTTACAGTGAAACATATAAGTGAACAGTATTTAGATAAGGCTAAAGAGGTTTTTGTGGCATTTATGGATTTGGAAAAGGCGTATGACAGGGTGGATAGGGGGGCAATGTGGCAGATGTTGCAGGTGTATGGTATAGGAGGTAAGCTACTGAAAGCAGTGATGAGTTTTTACAAGGATAGTGAGGCTCAAGTTAGAGTATGTAGGAAAGAGGGAGATTATTTCCCAGTAAAAGTAGGCCTTAGACAAGGATGTGTGATGTCACTGCGGTTGTTCAATATATTTGTAGATGGGGTTGTAAGAGAAGTAAATGCGAGGGTCTTGGCAAGAGGCGTGGAGTTAAAAGATAAAGAATCACACAAAGTGGGAGTTGTCACAGTTGCTCTTTGCTGATGATACTGTGCTCTTGGGAGATTCTGAAGAGAAGTTGCAGAGGTTGGTGGATGAATTTGGTAGGAGATGTAAAAGAAGAAAATTAAAATTGAATACAGGAAAGAGTAAGGTTATGAGGATAACAAAAAGATTAGGTGATGAAAGATTGGATATCAGATTGGAGGGAGAGAGAATGGAGGAGGTGAATGTATTCAGATATTTGGGAGTGGACGTGTCAGCGGATGGGTCTATGAAAGATGAGGTGAATCATAGAATTGATGAGGGGAAAAGGGTGAGTTGTACACTTAGGAGTCTGTGGAGACAAAGAACTTTGTCCTTGGAGGCAAAGAGGGGAATGTATGAGAGTATAGTTTTATCAACGCTCTTATATGGGTGTGAAGCATGGGTGATGAATGTTGCAGCTAGGAGAAGGCTGGAGGCAGTGGAGATGTCATGTCTGAGGGCAATGTGTGGTGTGAATATAATGCAGAGAATTCGTAGTTTGGAAGTTAGGAGGAGGTGCGGGATTACCAAAACTGTTGTCCAGAGGGCTGAGGAGGGGTTGTTGAGGTGGTTCGGACATGTGGAGAGAATGGAGTGAAACAGAATAACTTCAAGAGTGTATCAGTCTGTAGTGGAAGGAAGGCGGGGTAGGGGTCGGCCTAGGAAAGGTTGGAGGGAGGGGGTAAAGGAGGTTTTGTGTGCGAGGGGCTTGGACTTCCAGCAGGCATGCGTGAGCGTGTTTGATAGGAGTGAATGGAGACAAATGGTTTTTAATACTTGACGTGCTGTTGGAGTGTGAGCAAAGTAACATTTATGAAGGGGTTCAGGGAAACCGGCAGGCCGGACTTGAGTCCTGGAGATGGGAAGTACAGTGCCTGCACTCTGAAGGAGGGGTGTTAATGTTGCAGTTTAAAAACTGTAGTGTAAAGCACCCTTCTGGCAAGACAGTGATGGAGTGAATGATGGTGAAAGTTTTTCTTTTTCGGGCCACCCTTCCTTGGTGGGAATCGGCCAGTGTGTTAATAAAAAATAATAAAAATAATTGTAAACAAAAGCGGAGTGTGAAGGGGAGTGACTGGGCCAAATGCAGATTCATACGTTTTCTCTAGCGCTGGACCAGAGAAAACGTAATTTTTTCCCTCCGCCCAGTTTCCACACCTCCATAGCATATAAACATAGCATGTTTATATGCTATGTAATGTGTTTCTTATATAATTTTGAAGAAAATATCATAGATGGATTAATGAAAATGTCTATATTAATGTAAAATAAGACATTTAATGTGCCCAAGAGGGATTATTATTATGTACTATTAGCATTACTATAACATTAAGACTAGAGGGGCACTCTTAGTGATTTTCATGTGTACCTGTACACCAGCACAGTGTGTAAGAATATTTAGGTACAGGTACACATAAGTATTATTATCAGAGTAAATATAAAATATGCAATAGCTTTAAAACACTTGAAATTTTGGAAAGTTTCCAGACATAATAGAGAGATGTGTTCACAGAGAATGTAAACAAACTAGGTGGGGCACGCTGTATTAGAAAGACAGTTAGCCGTATAGCGAGTTTTGGTCATAATTTGAAAACACCGTATTAGCAGAACTCCACAAGGCAAAACGCCGTAAAGCGGGGCCCAACTGTATTTACATGTTTATATCTGGTTACAAGTATAATGAGCTATTTATGAATACACATGAGAGTGAAATGTCATCCTGAGTCTCATTCTCCTATGTGCGGGTTGTTTGTGTACTGTTCCAATCATGAAATTGTGACTTTATTCTTTCTGGGGTGAAATATCAGAAAGCTGTTTTATGAAGCTCCTCTACAGAGTGATTTTCTTTTGTAAATGTGATTTACAACATAGCACCAAAACTGAGTAACACATACCATGAATACCTTTCCTTTTACTATAAAATTCTGAATGTTCTTTTTTCAATCTCACTTACAATAAAAAATCACAATATACAGAGGAGTTTTATAAGAGAGCTTAGAGTACAAAGAAAGAAGTGGAAGACAAGCCACAGGGGGGATGGAAACCCTCAGTTCGAGACCCCACACGTGTCATCAGGATTGAGGTGGACTGAGGGGAAGTTCTCCCATGGCTTGTCTTGCATTGTAAAGATCCTTGCCTATTTACGTTTGTGTTGTATAAAGTTAAGAAGTAATGGAGGAAGGCCACTGGGAAAGAAAAAGGCACACTGCACAACCAGCTTTTGTCTGGACAACATGTTGACTAGCTTTTTACCAAGTAATGACTTGATAACTTATGTCTTGTCTCTGCTATTGTCTTCAGTATTCTACTAAACTCAAGGAAATAACAATGGCAAAAAAGACTTAATGTACTTATTATATCACAGGTGATATAATAAGTACATAGGTTGGAGGGAGGGGGTAAAGGAGGTTTAGTGTGCGAGGGGCTTGGACTTCCAGCAGGCATGCGTGAGCGTGTTTGATAGGAGTGAATGGAGACAAATGGTTTTTAATACTTGACGTGCTGTTGGAGTGTGAGCAAAGTAACATTTATGAAGGGGTTCAGGGAAACCGGCAGGTCGGACTTGAGTCCTGGAGATGGGAAGTACAGTGCCTGCACTCTGAAGGAGGGGTGTTAATGTTGCAGTTTAAAAACTGTAGTGTAAAGCACCCTTCTGGCAAGACAGTGATGGAGTGAATGATGGTGAAAGTTTTTCTTTTTCGGGCCACCCTGCCTTGGTGAGAATCGGCCAGCGTGATAATAAAAAATAAAAAAAAAATTAAGTCTTCAACTTACAAATAGTATACTGGGGACCTTCTGTATTGTGTATAAAAATGATATACACAATACAGAAGATTCTCGATATTTTCCTAAGTTGAGGACTTACTGTAGAGCGAGTTAAAACAAGTAGGTATTTAAAAATTACAAGACAAACATTACACTTACTTTTTCAGTATTGAGCAAAAAGTAGCCAAAGAACCTTGCTTTCGGGGTTTTGCAAGAATAAGAACTTAACATTTCCTCCACATCTTCACTGGTCCCAGACACTATACTCTCCACGCGGGCAAGACAGGGACATTTAACATTAACTTGCATATAGATTTTTGAAAAAAGGCTATATGAACACACCTGAATCTACAGGGACATCACAATGTATTACTTTTGTCTGGACAAATTCGTGTGGCTTCCTTATACATTGGCCTCAGTGTTTTTACTGATGAACCCAGGAATAATTAAAAATTATCCTGTATTTTTAATAATGAGCAGACATAAACAGTTTAAAAATTTTGAAACCCATTTTTAATAATGAACAACTCACAAACTGATTAAATTATCCAAGGGTTTAATCGTCCAGCCAGGCTAAGATACAATTACAATGGTATAATAAAGAAAATAAAGAAAAATTTATTAGCAGTGAGTGTGTCCTTACTTCTGGAGAACTCTCAGTGGTCACGTAAACTCTTTGCTTCTTCCTTAGCTTTCTGCGCTTCTTTATTTGATACGACCCATAAATTGTAGCTGCGTCTTAAGAGCCAATATCGTGTCTCTTTCACATGTACTTGACTTTCAACACTCTTATATTCTTCTCTATAAAAGAAAAACAGAGTATTCAGATGATGATGTACAGTAGGACCCCGCATCTGTGGGTCCAGTATCCCTGGTTTCAGCTACCCACGGTTTACCGTGGCCCGAAAATTAAACCCTTAATTTGCTTAATAATGATCTCCAAGTGCAAAAGCAATGATGGTAAGAGTTCTTCAAAGCCTAAGAGAAGCTGAGAAGGTGCTTCCCATCAGTGAAAAAAGTGATAATTCTCCACTATTGTGCATAATTTTTCAATTAAACTTTTTTATAGGACTGTTTTATTAGGGTTTGCTTTCTATCTACAGTTTTTGGTATCCTACTGTATACAATTTTTTTTATTGACAAAATCGGCCATTTCCCACCAAGGGAGGTAACCCAAAACGAAGAAACTCTCTTATCATCACTCACTCCATCACTGTCTTACCAGAGGCACACCTACACTAGTTAAAAAAATTAATATTAATATTTTTAATACACCGGCCATGTCCTGCAAGGGAGGGAGACTCACTTCCCCCTCCCCCCAAAAAAAAGGAAAAATTTCATCATCATTCACATTCTGGAAAGAGTTATTAGATGAATGATGGTGAATGTATTTCATCTTTTTTTGGGGTTACCCTCCCTTAGTGGAAAATGGTCAGTTTCTTAAAAAAAAAAAAAAAAAAAAAAAAAAAAAAAAAAAAAAAAAAAAAAAAAAAAAAAAATCGATACTTTTGTGTTCAGGTTACAATGAACCACTAGTTATAACAACCACCCCCCAGAAATGTCTCTACAATACAGGAGGCCCCCACTTTACAGCGCTACGTTTTACAGTGTTTCGCTAATACAGCAGTTTTCAATTATACCCATTCTTCATTTATCCAGACTTCCTACAATAAATATATTCACCGTTCACTATAAGCTAAGGTTGAAAATATTTTAAGGTAAGTAATGTGTTTTCTGTATATACATTTTTCAGGCCTAGCTTTACTGCTCACTTAATGTATGATAGTGCAAACATGTTATCAGGCTTCATATGCATTTGAAAGTGAAAAAAGCCATGTTTCACTTTACAGTAATTTTTGCTTTACAGCAGTAACCTGGAACCTAACCTGCTGCATAAGCAGAGCCCTCCTGTATACAGAAAATCTATTTCTAAAAGAAATTCGCTAAAGGCTATTAAAATGCGCTCTTATGCTTTCAAATTGAGTGGTCAATTATTATGCAGAATTAAGTGTTGTTGGCTTGAATAAGCTTCACATAGCTACCCTGGGCTTGCAATAATGTTACCACACAATGCAAAGAACACCTCCATTCTTATACAGTGGACCGCCGGCTTACGATATTATTTCATTCCAGAAGTATATTCAGGTGCCAGTACTGACTGAATTTGTTCCCATAAGGAATACTGTGAATTAGATTAGTCCATTTCAGACCCCCAAACATACACGTACAAACGCACTTACATAAATACACTTACATAACTGGTCGCATTGGGAGCTGATCGTAAAGCGGGGGTCCACTGCACTTTACATATTCTTGTAAATAATATTTTTATCAAGAATAAATAACCATCCCAGATAGAACCATTATGCTTGATGGGAATATATGTCAACAATACAATATTTTTATCTCGAGTAAATAACTATCCCAAATAAAATAATTATATTTGATGGGCATACAGCTTAGTCTCGATTAGTGAGAATAATGAATACTGTAAAGCTGTCGCATTGTTCGAATTTACGCTACAGTGGACCCCCGCATAACGATCACCTCCGAATGCTACCAATTATGTAAGTGTATTTATGTAAGTGCGTTTGTACGTGTATGTTTGGGGGTCTGAAATGGACTAATCTACTTCACAATATTCCTTATGGGAACAAATTCGGTCAGTACTGGCACCTGAACATACTTCTGGAGTGAAAAAATATCGTTAACCGGGGGTCCACTGTATTTGATTTTCTGTTAAGTGGGGGTATCCCACTGAGGCAGGGTGACCTAAAAAAAAAAAAATTAAAGTTTTTCTTCTTAAATTTAGTAATTTATACAGAAGGGGTTACTAGCCCTTTGCTCCCAGCATTTTAGTCGCCTCTTACGACACGCATGGCTTACAGAGGAAGAATTCAGTTCCACTTCCCTATGAAGACTATTTGAATTATATGTAAATTTTGCACACAATTTGAAGAATTTTAGGAGTAAACTAGCACTGATTAATTCCCCACTAAATCAAAAGTCACACAATTCGAACTTGTTTTTAATCAAGACCTAGCCATATTATCAATAATATAATTTTTATCAATGTTTTAAAAAACTATCTTAGGTAGAATAATTATGTCTGATGGGAATACTTACCTAAGACTTTTGTTTTGTTTTGTTAATTTGGAACTGTTGTTTCCAAAGTCTTTATTTCCTGCTCCTTAAGCTTAACCTGGAACTATAAATAAAAGTAGTTAGTTGTAACTATGACAGCAACAAATAAGATAACTGTTTGCTGCAATAATAACTAAAAAAGATAATTTATGGCTGTAGATGAATGGTTCAGAGAACTGACAAGTTGATAAATCGGACACATGTGCAACACTTGGGTATCTTCATTGAGGAAACGTTTCGCCACACAGTGGCTTCATCAGTCCATACAAAGGAGAGCGTTGAAGAACAGGAGGAGCTTGAGGTAATCAGTCCCTCAGCCTTGAGTTGATGTGGTCAGTCCATCAGTCTTGAAAAGAATACAGCATATGTGTGTAGAAGTAGCTCATATATCATAGGCAGGAGAGGTGCAGCAGTCGTAGGTGGTATCACTTACGACTGCTGCACCTCTCCTGCCTATGGTATATAAGCTACTTCCACACACATATACTGTATTATTTTCAAGGCTGATGGACTGACCACATCAACTCAAGGCTGAGGGACTGATTACCTCAAGCTCCTCCTATTCTTCAATGCTCTCCTTTGTATGGACTGATGAAGCCACTGTGTGGCGAAATGTTTCCTCAATAAAGATACCCAAGTGTTGCACCTGTGTCTGATTTATCAATTCTATGGCTAACGGGCTGTGTCCATAGTTTCCAAATTGACTGACCCAGTGAATTTTGTTTTGTATTTCCAAAGTCCATAATCAAAAACATGTCATTTTTTTTTCCAACACACTGGCCATCTCCCAGTGAGGCAGAGTGACCCAAAAAGGAAGAAACACTTTCACCATTATTCACTTCATCACTGTCTTGCCAGAGGGATGCCGATACTACAGTTCAAAACTGCAAATGTCATGACCCCTCTTCCAGAGAGCAGGTACTGTACTTCCCCACCTCCAGGACTCAAGTCCAGTTAACTGGTATCAATTTTATGAAATCTTTCACTCATGAAAAATTAACCCATTTAGGGTCAGTCCCATACATGTACAGCTTGAGAGCCAGTCTCAGTCCCACATTCATATGCCAAAATTATAGCACCTTCAAATCTAGCGGGAGAAAGCTGGTAGGCCTGCAAGTGAGAGAATGTGTCTGCGCGGTCAGTGGATGCAGTATGAAAAAAATCAGGGCACCCGCATTGCATTGTGGGAGTGGTAATTCAGTGCACCTTGGTCACCAAGCCAAGCAGTAAGTAATACCTCACTTTCCGGTGAACTGGGACTCTTCCCTTCCCAAGTGATAGTTCTAACACAGATAAAAGTGTCAGTGAAGATGAATCTAATGGTTTTGAGGAGTTTCTGACAAAGTAATGAGCAGGATACCAGAAATAGTGCTGAAAACCCAGACGATTATCAACCTTCCACCAAAAGTGTCAGACAAAGTGACTTATTTGCATGTGGGTGGTGGGGAAGGCTGCGTGGGTAGTGGGGAAGGGAGCATCTGTGGTGGAGAAGACTGGGTGGGTTTGTGTAAACAACATGGCTGGCCGGCGGCTAGCTGGCTGATTGACTTTGGCTGTCTCTATCTCTGTCTGTATCTATATCTGTCTCTGTCTGTGTGTGTGTCTGTCTCTGTCTCTCTGCCTCTCTGCCTCTGTAGCTCTGTCTGTATCTCTGCCTCTGTTTATCTCTGTCTATTTCACACACAAATACAATTATACATAGTGTAAATTAACTAGGATAACCCAAAAAATCCAGACAAAGTGCTATATTGTGCTTGTAGATATAATGCATAGTAAGTATGACAGGCAAGTAATACGTATTTACACTTGCTCAGGAATCAGACGTGACGACTGTGTTGTGTGTAATACTTGTTGGTTCACGAGGAGCTCTCTCCGAGACAGAGAGAGAGAGAGAGACAAGCAGAGAGACAAGCAGAGAGACAGAAAGACAAATAAGCAGAGACAGAGATAAACACAGAGCTAGACAGATAGACAGACATATTTATGTGTAACAGTAAAAGCAAATAAAGCCAAGGCAGTGCACACTCATCAAATGTCACCACTGCTGCACTGTCAGCAATGGAATGACACCCATTTTACATCATGCTTCAAGGAAACATTATATACTCCTATATATCCAAAACACTGTTGAGACCTATAAATCCTATGTATATACAGTGGACCCCGGTTTACGATATTATTTCATTCCAGAAGTATGTTCAGATGCCAGTACTGACCGAATTTGTTCCCATAAGGAATACTGTGAATTAGATTAGTCCGTTTCAGACCCCCAAACATACACATACAAACGCACTTACATAAATACACTTACATAATTGGTCGCATTGGGAGCTGATCGTAAACCGGGAGTCCACTGTATTTTTAGACAATAGTATGTGACTAAGGTAGGTGAAAATGTTCACCTGTCATTGTTTGTGCAATTATTGTACAGCATACAATGAGTGAATATATATATACAGTATGCCTTATATTGGTCTCACAGGCCATAAATGTTACTTGAAAAAATAAAATATTAAAAAACAAAAGAAAAAAGTAAAATAATAGTAAAGATAATATTACTGAGTGACCGGCAGTCAGCGATGTTGCCATAAGTGGTTCACTTTCTGTCAAATTCACGCCTCCATATTTTGGCAAGTATTGATCCTCCATTTTTTTTTCTATAGCACTTAGAAAAATATTCTTAAGATTTTAGTAGGATTTTTTTTTTTTTTTTTTTTTTTTTAATATTTTTCAACCCTGAGAGCGAGTTAAGGATCAGAGGTCTCGACCCTGAAAGGTTTAATGCAAAAGAAATGTGTTTTACCTTCAAGTTATCAATTTGGTGCTGCAAGATGTCTGGGTCTAATTGTGAAGTATCCAGCCCACCAGTATCAAAAAAAAGCTTCACCAAGCTTTTGTCAGTTGCTTTCCGGCGGCATTGCGGACAAGATTTTGACCTGGCAAAAAATAATTACAAATAACACATTAGTGATTCATAGGTCAACCCTGTCATTTATCAATTGATACTGAATATTTTACAGGATATCCTAAGTACAGGAGGGCCCACATATTTGGCAACCTCTTTTCAGTGTTCCACATTTCTGACTCACGAAATCGTAATGACACGATTGCATGTTAACAGCTTTGAGGGGACTTGAGCTAGAGTTTGTCACGGCCATGCTAGCTGGAGATTCGTTTGTAAAAACTTGCATTTGTGGTCACTAGTCGTGGCCTATGCTAACCTTCCTATGGTGTAGAAATATACCTAGTTGGACGAATCTTATTGTGGCTAGCTGGTCCAGTGGCTAACGCGACGGTCTGGAGTTTTGAGACTCTCTGACCGCGGGTTCAAATCCCGCCCGTGGTATGGTTTTTTTTTTCCACATTTCCAATGGTTTTCAATTGAGTCATCGTTCATTATGCTTTTAGGATAAGCATTGGATGTACAGTGTACTGTATTTATTTTACTTTTGTATCTTATTTTTTAATGCCTAGCTGTATTGAGCACTTAATATATGATAGTATAAACACATTATCAGGTATTTTAGATGCATTCGATATTGATAAAATGTTCTTTCCACTCATCAGTGATTTTGGCTTATTGACTGCTTATGTAGCGTAACATTTATGAAGGTTCGGAACCGCGCGATTGAGTCTAATAACAGTGCCTGCATCTAAATGTTAATGTTGCAGTTAAAATGTAGTGAAACACCCTTCTGCAAGCAGTGATGAGTGAATGATTGAAAGTTTCTTTTCGGCACCTCCTTGTGGAATCGGCCGGTGTATAATAAAAATAAAAAAAAATGATAGGGATCACGAATCTAACAGCCATAAAAACAAGAGCTTCCCGTATAGTAAAACCTCAATTTAACTTACTCAGATTTAAATGGTTTTGTACCTGAACTGTGACCGGACAACATTCAGAAGCAACAAAGTCCATTATATCCAGAATTCCCCATTATTCTTAAGGTCTGCTGAGTAAATTTACTTTGGATTAAACAGATTTTGTCTGTTAAATAAAAAAAAATTGTGCATTATTTTTACAGACAATTCCAAATCAAAAGTCCTTTCATCTAAAACCATCCATGTCTGTTGAAGTCCACTGATTAAATTTTCTTTTGCATTTAACAGACTTAATCTGTTATATCCAGAAATTGACCATCACTGTTATGACCACAGAAATATATTCTTGTGTTAGATTTAGCAGACACTTCCACTCTTCTAGTAGTCTGTTTAATCGAGGGTTCACTATATTCTACTGCTTGGAGACTCTCCTGTTAACTACGGGTCAGCCATCACTAATCTGGCAATCAGTTATCTGGTTCCATCAGTAATCCGGTACTAATTTTGGCTAGCATAATTTCGAATTTCATCATTATACTGACTCAGAAATTGTGCAGATGGTTGTAAATCCACAGCAGTAAGCCAGCGGAGGAGAAAGCAGTGATGAAAATGAGGAAGATGTAGCAGAAAGTCTCTACTGATAGGTTAATTAAGTGTATTCTAACCTAACCACTCTGTAATTCGGTAAACTCACTAATCCAGCACACTACAGGTCCCAATGATACCAGATTAGTGATGGCTGACCTGTACCTCCTTCCTGTAGGGAACAGTGAGTACAGTGACACTGTCAGGGAAGGGCTAAAGCCTCCCATAACCCTACCTGGGAAAGTAGGCCTTAGAGAAGAATGCATGTCACAATGGGTGATCTACATATAAAATAAGTGAATGTTAGGTGTTGGGAAGAAGTGTATAACTCAAAGATAATGAGGCTGATACAGAGTGGAAATTATCAAAGGTGCTTTTAGGAAGAATCTAAAAAAACTGCAGAGGTTGTTGGAAGAATTCAGGAGAATATGTAAAAGACTGAAATTTTAAATTATTATAGAAAAGGGCAGGAAAAGGAGAATTCAAACCTAAGGCAATAAAATACAAGGCGCTATCCAAAAGTTCCTGGACTCAAATTTTTAGGCACTACCTGGGTGAAATAGAGCAGCAGCATAGATCATGGTACAAAGTACACTTCCTTCGTTAGTGTGGTGAGTTTCAATGCAGTCATTCCACTGATGCTAGAGGGGCATTTTTGTTGTGTCATGAGAGGCAAGTGGCTGCAAATCTGTGCCGCACTTGCTGACTCACTAACAGAAAGACTATTGTTTTCTGGCCAAAAACAATATAGAGGTGACCAGATCTACCTGGAGTTCATTACCTTTGTAACTAGTTCAGCTATCATAACTTTGGAGTCCAGTCCCTGGACCCATTATGTACCTTCGTAATCTTTTGACTACCGCCCACAGGATGGGTATGGGGTGCATAATAAAGATATTAAACTAACCCCCACCTCTCCACTTCCCAGAACTAGCCCCTGTGACTTCCTTCTCTTCCCAAAAGTAAATATGGCAAACAAGGAATGGCATTTTAATGTAGAGGAAATTCAATCAGAATTGCAGGCTGCACTAGACCTCAAGAAAGAAGAGCTCTAGAAATGTTTTGAAAAATAACAGGCACTGGGATGAGTGTATAGCCTCAAAAGTAGAATAGCTCAAAGGAATCAATTTCAATTTGGGTATTAGGTAAGCCTAAATATTTTTTTTCATGGCAGACCAGGAACTTGATAGCTCCTCAAATTGCATATCAAACTGGAGGGAGTATGGAGGAAGTAAATACTTGGGAGTAGACATATTGGAAGATGGGTCCATACAACAGATAAATTATTGAACAAAGCCTATATTATTTAAAAAAAAAATAATAATAAATCTGACATACTTAACCCTTAAACTGTCCAAACATAGATCTACGTTCACATGTGTAACACTCCGACCTTGATTTTCCCCATTTGAAAGCATATAAAAAAAAGTATATCTACGTTCGGAGCCTGCCGCACATCAACGTATATCTGTGTGTGGACAGTTTAAGAGTTAATTAAAAACACTCAAGACTTTTGTAAAAACAAAAATAAAAATCTGAAATATCTAAATTTTTAATGTTTCTACAAATACAACATTCACTTCTGTTCTAAATGTACAACAATTACACAACAAAATTCCTTTGGTGAAGGGGTAGAAAGGATCAGATAAGCTTCAAACCTTTCAATCCACTGGATGATACAGGCAGAGTGGAAAGTGTGGCCACATGGAGCAGCAGAAACATCAGTGGTTGCTATGAAGAGATCCCCACAGATGACACACCCGGCTCGCATTCTGCACAATTATTCCAGTACCACAACCTCTGCAAAATAGAGTCCGTAAGTGACATGGTTTCAAAGCAATAATTTTTAAAAGCATAAAGCTGCATCTGAAGTGAATCACCCGAGTCAAGACAAGAAAGACAGTTATCAGAACATCTAGGCGAGTACAAATAGGAAGCGCGTCTGTCTGGCGCTCACCAGACGGAGGATCGAGCCTCCAACACGTCTTGCGCTGAATGACTCGCTTGGGTTTAGCGCTTAACATGGATTAATTTAATTTAATCAGATTATCATTATAATCAAGGGGGAGCGCTATACCCACAGGATTATACAGCGCCTGTGTGGGGGGATGTGGAAGTTATTCAGGCTTAATTCAGGGAACTGGAGCACAGATCCAATTCCCTAGATCAAGAGCCCCTCACCAACATCAAGGAACCTTCCTTGAGGGGTATCAGATTACTAGCACCAAAGAGTTAAGTCACACTTAGCCAACAAAGCCAGGCAGCACGGCTCTTTTCCATTTGGGGTCTTTAATAAGTAAATAGGTTTATTTAGGTATCTATATCTATCTATATCTATCTATATCTATATCTATCTATATCTATCTATCTAGCTATCTATCTAACACTATATCTAATCTACTATCTATCTACACTATTCTTCTTCTCCTCTCTCTCTCTCTCTCTCTCTCTCTCTGTTCACTGATTTTAACGAAAAGTAACGTTACACAGTATTTAAGACATATTTTTGCCTTTTGTGATGTGCTATATGATTACACACAAGTATAATTATCATACCTAGTAACAAGTGTGTAAATTACCCAGGATAACTCAAAATGCTATATGGAGGGTTCAAAACAGGTCACACAGTAAGCCCATCAGGACTCGAGAAATCTTATTAACACAATTGTAAAATAAAAAATCACAGAACAGGTGGCATTTAAATTCATGGCAGGTTAGTCCAAAAAACCCATTGGCCTACCTGGAATACACCTGGAGAGGTTTTCGGGGGTCAATGCCCCCACGACCTGGTCTGTGACCAGGCCTCATGGTGGATCAGGGCTTGATCAACCAGACTGTTACTGCTGGCTGTATGCAACCCAATGTACAAACCACAGCCTGGCTGGTCAGGTACTGACTTTAGGTGCCTGTCCAGCACCTTCTTGAAGACAGCCAGGGGTCTATTGATAATCCCCCTTATGTATGCTGGAAGGCAGTTGAACAGTCTTGAGCCCTTGACACTTAGTGTTGTCTCTTATTGTGCTAGTTGCACCTCTGCTTTTCATTGGGGGGATGTTGCATCATCTGCCGAGTCTTTTGATTTAATAAGGAGTGATTTTCATGTGCAAGATTGGTACTAATCTCTCTAACGATTTTCCAAGTGTATATAATCCTGTATTTTTTTCCCACCTGCGTTCCAGGAAATTACAGGTTCAGGAGCCTCAAGCGCTCCCAGTAATTGAGGTGTATTATCTCCGTTATGCGCGCCGTGAAGGTTCTCTGTACATTTTCTAGGTCAGCAATTTTACCTGCCTTGAAAGGTGATGTTAGCATGCAGCAATATTCCAGCCTATATAGAAGAAGCGACCAGGGTTCAAACCCCAGTCATTCTGTGACATGTACATTTAACTGTTACATTCATGAGGGGAGAGCACTAAACCTTCTGGAATCATACAACTCCCAGGGGAAACAAGAGGCAGTCAGGTTCGATTCAAGAAAGAGAACATCAGGTTCAATTCCATAAATCAAGAACCCCTCACCTTGAAACTGCTCTCAGGGTTGATACAGTGAGTGTAGTGGTTCATTGTACATACAGAGTGTGTAGTGGTTCATTGTTCATACAGTGAGTGTAGTGGTTCATTGTACATACAGGAAGTACTGGTTCATTGTTCATACAGTGAGCATAGTGGTTCATTGTACATACAGTGAGTGTATTGGTTCATTGTTCATACAGTGAGTGTGGTGGTTCATTGTTCATACAGTGAGTGTAGTGGCTCACTGTTCATACATAGTGGCTCACTGTTCATACAGTGACCATAGTGGTTCACTGTTAATACATAGAGTGTAGTGGTCATAACACTGGTCTCAGGCAACATACAGTGAGTGTAGTCTTAAGACTGGTCTCAGACAACATACAGTAAGTGTAGTGGTCTTAACAACATACAGTAAGTGTAGTGGTCTTAAGACTGGTCTCACAGAACATACAATGAGTGTAGTGGTCTTAACACTGGTCTCGGACAACATACAGTGAGTGTAGTTGTCTTAACACTGGTCTCAGACAACATACAATAAGTGTAGTGGTCTTAACAACATACAGTAAGTGTAGTGGTCTTAACAACATACAGTAAGTGTAGTGGTCTTAACAACATACAGTAAGTGTAGTGGTCTCAAGACTGGTCTCACAGAACATACAATGAGTAGTGGTCTTAACAATGGTCTCAGACAACATACAGTAAGTGTAGTGGTCTTAAGACTGGTCTCAGACAACATACAGTGAGTGTAGTGGTCTTAACACTGGTCTCAGACAACATACAGTGAGTGTAGTGGTCTTAACAACATACAGTAAGTGGTCTCAAGACTGGTCTCACAGAACATACAATGAGTGTAGTGGTCTTAACACTCGTCTCAGACAACATACAGTAAGTGTAGTGGTCTTAACACTTGTCTCAAGTAACATACAGTAAGTGTAGTGGTCTTAACACTGGTCTCAGAGAACATACAGTAAGTGTAGTGGTCTTAAGACTGGTCTCAGACAACATACAGTAAGTGTAGTGGTCTTAACGCTGGTCTTGGACAACATACAGTAAGTGTAGTGGTCTTAACACTGGTCTCAGACAACATACAGCAAGTGTAGTGGTCTTAACACTGGTCTCAGACAACATACAGCAAGTGTAGTGGTCTTAACACTGGTCTCAGACAACATACAGTAAGTGTAGTGGTCTTAACAGTGGTCTCAGACAACATACAATAAGTGTAGTGGTCTTAACAGTGGTCTCAGACAACATACAGTAAGTGTAGTGGTCTTAACACTGGTCTCAGACAACATACAATGAGTGTAGTGGTCTTAACACTGGTCTCAGACAACATACAATGAGTGTAGTGGTCTTAACACTGGTCTCAGACAACATACAGTAAGTGTAGTGGTCTTAACACTGGTCTCAGACAACATACAGTAAGTGTAGTGGTCTTAACACTGGTCTCAGACAACATACAATGAGTGTAGTGGTCTTAACACTGGTCTCAGACAACATACAGTAAGTGTAGTGGTCTTAACACTGGTCTCAGACAACATACAATGAGTGTAGTGGTCTTAACACTGGTCTCAGACAACATACAATGAGTGTAGTGGTCTTAACACTGGTCTCAGACAACATACAATAAGTGTAGTGGTCTTAACACTGGTCTCAGACAACATACAGTAAGTGTAGTGGTCTTAACACTGGTCTCAGACAACATACAGTGAGTGTAGTGGTCTTAACACTGGTCTCAGACAACATACAGTGAGTGTAGTGGTCTTAACACTGGTCTCAGACAACATACAGTAACTGTAGTGGTCTTAACACTGGTCTGGTCTCAAGACCACACAATAACACACCTTAACACTGGTCTGGTCTCAAGACCACACAATAACACACCTTAACACTGGTCTGGTCTCAGGACCACACAATAACACACCTTAACACTGGTCTGGTCTCAAGACACACAATAACACACCTTAACACTGGTCTGGTCTCAAGACCACACCTTAACACTGGTCTGGTCTCAAGACCACACAATAACACACCTTAACACCGCCGCTCAAAATAATGAGACTCGTTTCTCCTCCGCCAAAACAATGAAGACAACGAGCCTAAAATTTTATTACGAGCCTAAAATTTAATACATCGAACCTAAAATAGTTTTTTTTTTAATGTCACTTTAATAAATTTGAGTGTATATATACTAAGAGGTTTGTATTTTATATATATTTATACACACGCAACAAAGCTATATCTCTCAGTGTATATAGTACATTAGGTATACTAGCTAATTGTGGTTGCAGGGGTTGATTTATAGTTCCTGGCCCCATGTGAATGTATATCACTAAGTGTATATATACGTAAAGGTGTGAATCAATCAGTGTATGTACACCGATAGTTTATTTTAGGTATTACAGTATTCCTAACTGGTAGTGTACATGTATTATGCAGCCTTAATGACCCTCGTGTAGTAGGTAGGCTTCAAACCCATGAAATCAACAACTATATCGCATGTATTGGCTTGATGCAACGTTATATACAATTATTATAATCTTGTCATTCCAATTTATGATTTTTTTCATCTAAATCGTACCATTTATATAGTTTACATAGACAATTTCCTGCCCTGTTTTTGCAAATACAAGATTTACCATAGATCCCTTAGGAGAAATTATAATTGCCCAAATTCACGGGCCCGACCCTCAAAATAAACTGCCCAAATTTATTTATAGTAAAAAATCCCCAATTTTTCCCAGTAGATTTTTCACTTTCTTTTAAACATAACTGTTTTTTTAAGTTAAGTTTTTAAAAAATTGTTAATTACCGCCTCAAAACTCCTCTCTCTCACAGTTTTTGTTAAAAAATTCTGAGTATATACATTAATGGTGGGTTTATATACATTAATATGGGTTATAAAACAATAATGGGGGTTTATAAACAAAAATTTAGGGGGTTTATATACTTTAAATTTGGGGGGTTTATATCATTAAAATTTGGGTTATATAAAAATTAAGGGGGGGTTTTAAAAAACATTAATGATGGGTTTTTATACATTAATATTGCTAACACTAACAGAAACCTTTCAAGGCGGGTTTAAAATTTGGTTTGCCCCTAAAAAAAATTACAGAAACCTTCAGGGCCGCGCATAAGGGAGAAAATAAAACCTCAATTACTGGCGCTGAGGTTCCTAAAACTGTATTCCCGGGAAAAAAGGGCGAATGACTTATCAGTGTTTTTGGGTTTGCAAAAATCTAGCTATGAAAAGTTTTCCCTCAGAAAACCACACAGGCAAAATTTTAATGGCAAATATAAAGCAAGGGAGGACTTTTTGCTTTATGCTCAGCAAGGCAGAGGGAACTGCAACATTCCTTTCACTAATTATGAACCTTGAGCACACAAAGGGGAAAACTCCCCGCGCCTGGTGAGAGGAAATTACTTTCAAAAAAAATTTTCCCAAAATTGCTGTGTCGATTTTAAACCAGGTAATCCATTACTTGAATTATATAACATGAGTTTTTTTTTCCCTGGGGACTCCCAAAAATCATGGACCAATAGCCTCGTTTTAATTCCCTTTCCCAAGCCCAATCAACAAAATTTTAAAATTTCCCCCAATACCCTTACTAGCTGTTTGGGGTAAAACTTTCAAAAAGGATGATTCTTAATAGTTTTAAAGGCACAAAATTTAAAGGGAAAATTTTTGTCCCCCCCCCTTTTCCCAGGGGCCCCATGCAAGGAAGGAGTGTCATATTGAAATACCACCTTTCTCACTCTGCACACTGAAAAGCTAATACACTACCTTTTTTAAAACCCTTAAATCCGTTTTTTGAGTACCCAAACCCGACATGTAATCATTATAAATTTGCCAAAGGGATTTTGGGGAGGTTTGGCTTCCCCCCGCTGGTTTAAAAGGGTTACCTGCCCCAACAGAAAGCCCGTCTGTGTTTTTCCCAAAGGGACATAGAAGTGTAATTTAAAGATTTTGAATTAGGAACCCCACAGGAGGTGGTTTTATTCCCACCCTTTTCAACATTTTGTTTAAATGCCTTCCCTTAATGCCATGCCTCCCCCCCCCAAACATTATATGGTTTTTTTGGGCAAAGCCCAACAATGTTTTCCACACCCCCCTTTTTCCCCAACCCCCCAAAACATTTTTAAAAACCCATGTACTACCTCGTGTCGGGACCGGGTTTTTGGGAAAAATCTCTACTGATAAAACAAAGATACCAAAAAGGGGGGTCCTCCTCGACAGAGAGGCACTTTTCCCAGTTTTCCAGTTGCATAAAGGGGTTTTTTTCTAGAATATTAAAGAAAATACGGGTTATCTGGGCTTGGGGTTCCACTATTTGGACCTGTTGAACGAGACTTTGTCGCCAATAAAAGAAAGGCTGAAAACCCCCTTAAGTTTTGGAAAGGGTTTTCACCCCGGGTAGGGTGCTAAGGGGAAAAAATTGTGAAAATGATGTATCTTGCTTATTTTTAGATCATTGGTTTTTAAAATGCGGCGCCACTATTTTGGCACTCGTGTCGGGACGGGAACTTGGGGGCTGGAAAAACGCAAACGAAGCAATGAGCATCACCCTTTAGGGATGCCCCTCGAAACGGGCCAAAATTTTTAAATATGGGGAAAAGAACTTAATATTCCAAGCATTAGAGATCGTTTTTACTGAAAGAAATATCCAAAATTGGGGGTCAATATTTTAGGGCAAGCCCATTCAAACCCCTGCACAAAGCCTCCAAACCTTTCCCCCAGCACTGGGGAACAACCTTTCCCGATGAATCGAAAAAACCCGGAACCGACCTTTCCCCTGAACCCCGCTACATTAATTTTATCAAGTTAGACAACAGGAAAAATTTCCCCCCCTCCATGGGGGAAAAAACCCCATTTCCAAAAATACCCCCCCCTCCATTTCCCCCCCAAAACTCTTCTTAAAACACAACCAAAGTTTCGTTTAAGCCAAACAAGATGCCTTAAAACTGTTTGATAACTTAGTCACAAAAAAGAACAATCTTTACAAATTATTTACGTTGAAAAGGTTTTGTTTTTCCAGTCCACTGGTGGGAAACTGGTAGGCTGCTGTTGTCCCCACCCGAGTGAAAGGCCCCTCAAAGAAAAATTTGGGGCACGCATCAATAACTTTGGGCCCCTAAACCCCTTTAAACAGAACTTTTTTGCCATACTCCTTTTCACTCAAAAGTTTCCATGTATCTAAGGTTGACCCTTTAATTGGGAACTGATTCTCGTCATCCATAAATGCCTCACTCCTTAAGTATAAATTGGGGCAAAGCTTGGGGTCAGAAAACCCGACAAAAGGTATGGGAAGATTGTGGACATTTGGGGCAGAGTGCAATGCTGTGGATTTTCCCTCTCACATTTTGGGCTTTAGAGCATGATAGAACTAACAAATTGGCTAAGCTGTATGCTTTCAAAAAAGGGGGTAGATTCCCAAACGTTTTTGGGGTTTTCATTTAGTTTGGGGGAACAAAAAATAAAGAAAAGAACTTTAAAAAGAACCTTTTTTACTTGACTTAGGGAGAATTTTTACACCCAAAAAAGGTCCCTTCCTTACATTTCCATCATGCAGGAGGGGCCACATTTCCAAAGATTCATCCAACAAAAATAAGTAGGAAATCTTGATTTCAAATACTGCCCGGGTCCGGGTGGGTTAAAAAAGTTCTAGGGAGGTTTTAAAACACCACAACCAGATGTAACCAAAAGAAAAAGTAAACTTTTCCAATGGGCTTTTTCACACACTGCTCATTAAAGTACTGGGGGTTTTGACCAAAATTTTTGAATTTAAAAACAACTCACTCAGAAAGTTTCAAGAAATGGCAAAGAATTTTTTTCCACATTGGGATATTAAAAGACCATTCCCGGAGAAATAACCCCGACTTTGCCAGCTGTAAATAAAAACATTACCACATTTTGGGGCATGTGTTTGTGGTGTGTGGTGTGTGTGTTTTGGTGGGGTGTGTGTGTGTACTCACCTATTTACTCACCTATTTGTGGTTGCAGGGGTCGAGTCCTAGCTCCTGGCCCCGCCTCTTCACCGGTTGCTACTGGGCCCTCTCTCTCCCCGCCCATGAGCTTTATCAAACCTCGTCTTAAAACTGTGTATGGTTCCTGCCTCCACTACGTCATTTTCTAGGCTATTCCACTGCCTTACAACTCTATGACTGAAGAAATACTTCCTACTATCTCTCTGACTCATTTGTGTCTTCCCCTTCCAATTGTGGCCTCTTGTTTTCTGTGTCCCCCCCTGGAACATCCTGTCTTTGTCCACCTTGGTCTATTCCCGCAGTATTTTATATGTCGTTATCATGTCTCCCCTGACCCTCCTGTCCTCCAGTGTGGTCAGGCCGATTTCCCTTAATCTTTCCTCATAGGACATTCCCCTTAGCTCGGGAACTAACCTTGTCGCAAACCTTTGTACTTTTCTCTAGTTTCTTGACGTGTTTTTATCAAGTGCGGGTTCCAAACAGGTGCTGCATACTCCAGTATGGGCCTGACATACACGGTGTAAAATGTCTTGAATGATTCCTTACTAAGGTATCGGAATGCTGTTCTCGGGTTTGCCAGGCGCCCAAAATGCTGCAGCAGTTATCTGATTGATGTGTGCTTCCGGAGACATGCTCGGTGTTTACTCCCCAAGATCCTTTCTCCTTGAGTGAGGTTTGCAGTCTTTGGCCACCTAGCCTATACTCTGTCTGTGGTCTTCTGTGCCCCTCCCCCCACTTCATGACTTTGCATTTGGCAGGATTAAATTCGAGAACCCCATTTGCGGGACCAGGTGTCCAGTCTGTCCAGGTCTCTTTGAAGTCCTGCCTGGTCCTCATCAGATTTAATTCTCCTATTAACTTCACATCATCTGCAAACAGGGACACTTCTGAGTCTAACCCTTCCGTCATGTCGTTCACTATACCAAAAATAGCACTGGTCCTAGGAAACCGACCCCTGTGGGGCCCCGCTCGTTTACAGGTGCCCACTGTGATACATCATTACGTACCATGACTCTTTGCCTCCCTGTCAGGTATTCTCTGATCCATTGCAGTGCCCTTCCTGTTATA